GCCACATTCATGCAACAGCACCCTGGTCCAGTGCTCCGGCTTTCCATGAGGCAGGTATGAGTCAGCTCCATGCCACCCCCACAGCTGGTTCAGTCCAGTTGGAGCAGTTGAGACCTTGTATTCCCCTCCCTCCTCTCAGAAGGGCCCTGTGACTCATCCTCCCCTCCCAGCTCTCCTCCAGCTCCATTCAGCTTACCAGGCTGCTCTTGGGAGACGGTAGGATGTGGGAGCTGGGGCAGGAGGCTGCCATTAAGCCCTGCATCTCCCAAGAGCCTAAGGCCAGCTTCAGTGCACTCTTTATCGTGCAGCTTTACTTCAGGTAAAGGAGTTCCTTCCACAGGCCAGGCCCATACCTGGCACTGTGGATCGAGTGTTCCTGCTTCTAGAAATTTAGGGCTCGGCCTGCCTGCCTCTAAGTTTTCCTTCTCTAAGGTACAAATTTCTCCCACTATTACCTTCATAGGACACAAGCACCTACTCCCTAATTGTGTTTAATTCTCCTACTCATTTAGCTCAATACAATTAAAGCAAGCATAGCGAGGGCAGGAACCATATTTAAGGCCTCTTGCAACCTCTCCAGTATGTCTCCTCCACAAAATGCCAAGTAGAGGCAAAGAGCAGAGGCATCGTAAATGCCTGCATTTTAAAAGATAAAGAGCCAAACATGAGTGGTCAATTTAAAGACGTTGGTCCACAGAGTTGTTGTTATTGTCATTGTTGTTTTAATACACAAAAGGTTTCTTTTATTTAAGAACAGGTTGTAGGGCTCTAACATCAGCCTGGCATGTACAGTGGCTGAAACAGAATAAGAACAGAAGACAAAAATCTCTCAAAATGTAAACTTGTAGTCCAATAAAATATAATCAAGGATGAAAGAAAAAGAATCAAGAGCAAGAGTTTCTTATCCCCTACTTTTAGGGGAGTTTCGTCTCCCCTAAAAGGGGAGAAAAATGCTGAGGTCAAGTGAGTTTTCTAAACCATGTGAACAGTTCCTTAGCCTATCATTAAACTCATCCAACTTTGTAAGTTGGTACCAAGTGCTTCTTGCTCCCCTGGGCACCTCTGTAGCCCACACTCATCACCTGAAGTGTCTGGGTCACCAGAGGTCTCTCTCAGCCCTGTGCTGGAATTATAGGCCAAGTCTTGATGCAGGGCCCAAAGCAAACAGGCTTTCTCCCCAGGGAGAGGAGGAACCACTACAAAGTTGGAACCGTAGAGAACAGGGGTAACAAACAGGATCAGAATCCAGCTGGTTCTTCCTGAATTCATGACTGTCTGTGTGATTTGACAGCACAGTGAGTTTTTCACCTCCCGGACAAGGTAGTCTCTCTCCCACCCTCCTTTATAGAGACAGCAGCTATCTATCCTCAAAGCCTCTTTGATTGCTCCACCCACACGTACAGTCCCCCTGCTGTGAAGAACCTTCTGGCCTTGAGCACCATCTGGAAACTTGGCATGCAGCTTAGGCTGGTACGGATTGAAGGGAGGGTTTTGCACAGTTTCCTCAGGTCAAAAGCAGGTAGGCAGGCACTCAGGTGATGCCACATTCTGACCTATTCACCTTCTTAATGTAGATTCGAGCCACAAGTCAAACAAGGCCAATAGCCAACATAAGTAAAACTGCAGTGAACACAGCAACTGCAACCAGCAGGTCCAGGTAGTCAAAATATAACCCAGCTCCTGAAATACAAGGAAACATTTTATTGGTTGTTTTTTTTTTAAGAGAACCAAATGACAGGCTTATATTCCACTACCTAATAGGCTCTCAAAAACACTTTCAGAGATTTATACTCTTAAACTCATGGTCCCTAGCATATTGCCTGGGACATAGAAGATACCTTTTTAAGAGAATAAACAAATTAACTACTAATATTTTATCAAAAGCCAAAGCCAGGATTGGAACAAAATGAATCTGGTAATATAAGGACTTGTCACCAACTTTTGCCATATGCTTCCTTAAGAACCCCATGCACACACTCAGAATTCACTTTGGAAAATGTTCAACATCCCTTTGTAATGCAGAATCTAAATTGCCTATGAGCTAATGACTAAAAGTCTTCCATCTTAGGCATATCAGAAATTAATTCTTTGTCTATTTTTTGAAAGACAGAAACTAACTTTGAGACCATGCACCCAGAGAAGCATGAAGGTCAGTTGTATTCCTAAATGTATTCTATCATCATGTAACTTACTATGGATTCAAAGAACTAGAACTAGTTTGCATACCATCTAGAGACAACTTTTAGAGCAAAATCCACAGATGACAGATTTCTAAAACTTCAAGATGGCTACTCACAGACCTTATTTCACCTTAACTTTTGTCACTGCCTGCAATGGACTGAATGTTAATGTCCCCTCCAAATCATATGTTGAAACCTTAACCCCTAATATAATGGTTTAGGAGATGGGGCTTTTGGGAGGTGATTAGATCGTGAGGGAAGAGCCCTCATGAATGCGAGTAGTGCCCTTATAAAAGAGGCCCCAGAAAGACCCCTTACCCCCTTCTTTCACATGAGGACACAGCAAGAAGATGGTTCTCCAAGAAGCAGATACTAAATCTGCCAGTACCTTGATCTTGGACTTCCCAGGCTCCAGAACCGGGAGTGATACATTTTTGTTTATAAGCCACCCAGTCTCTGGTATTCTGTTATAGCACAGACTAAGACCGTGCCTTATCTGCACACTTAGGAGTACAGGGAAGAGAAACATGGAAAAATTACTGTTGGAGGAAGTCATTGAGAGGATGTGACAGCTGGTTGACCTTTAAGCTGGAGCTGGGCAACTGGAGGCTCCTGACCCCCTCTGCTGTCCTTGGAATGTATGTTCTGCCCACCATTCCCACACTAGGAGCCATTTCAAGGACACAGCCTTTAGTGAGCAACATGTGGTTGAGGCCATCTGGACAGTATATGTGACTGAACCTAGTTAAGGCCTCTATATAAACTTTTAAGATTCTGGCAGGTAGGTGCACAGATCTACTCGACTTGCAGCTGTTCAAGACAAGCCTTGCTTATTAAAACAACCACCTACCAATCTGGAGTGGCCCATCTCTTTCTTCGGTTTCTCTTTGCCTTCTCTGTGTATGGGGGCCAGTTTCAAATTTCACCAGGGGAATCCCCAAGGTTGTGAGCCAACAATTACAAATTGTCAGTCACAAGTAGGTTTCTAGTCATAAGAAATTCAATGAATACGTATTGAGCCTCTATTTTGGGCCAAACTTAATCCTCTCTTGAAATATAAAAACCAAGAAACACACACAATTACCCAAAGAACTATGCAAACAGTACTGCAGGATCACCCACTTGCCCTGATTCTCCAGTAGAAAAAGATTATGGTATATAGCATCTTTGCTGGAATTTCAGCATCTAAGATTCAAAGGGCTAGACAAAACTTTCCACATCTAGTCAAACCCTTTCTTTCATAGGGATATTGAGACCCAAGGACCAAGCTCACATGGCAAGTTAGCAAGAAGGAAATAGAAGTCATGTCTATTGATCTGTGGCAGCACCAAGCACTTTACATTATTTCCCAGGTAACTGTACTGAATGAATTGCCATCACGAGCAGCAGCTCCTTGAACTGGTGAAGGGCATTGGCCAGCTAATTACCAACTGCTCTGTCTGGACTGCTCAGGAGCTAACTCAATTTCCCAGTGCAAGTCCCTGCCCAATGTCATCTTTGATAAGAAAACATCTGAAAACCAGAACATAATGGATAGAGCCTTGGGGAAACAACCAGATGTTCAAGTTAATTCCTATGCACATTTACTTTGATCAGAGTCAGGAATAGCATCCATATGGAAGTACTCCAAAGCTAAAGTTTGCAAAAGAAAAATCAGTACAATGAAGATTCTCATGGTAAATGATTTCACACTGCACTCCAAGTTCTAGAACAGTTCCTGGACTTCCTATCCTTCAGAGAATGTTTTCTTTGATATTGTCAGCTGGAGGCATCAAAATGAGAGCTCAACCCTGACCTGAGGACATACAGGTCTCAGAAGCATACCAAGTGGGAGAGCATCTGGGCAGCCAACACCGGCGTGAGGAGCACGCACACACAGCATGCCCAGCTGAGTGGGGACATGGTCTTCATACTCCTTTTGGCAGCAGAACTGTTGACACATTCTGTTCCATCACCACAGAGCTCCTGGCCAGTTTCATCCTCGTCCACATCTAAAAACAGAAGAAATAGACTGTTCTTGTTAGTCTCACCATCCAGTCCCTTTTGTCCAGGCTATTCCAAAGGCTCATCCTCTGCCTTTCCCCTCACGCCCCCTTGCTGGCCTTCATGCTGTTCCTTGTACACACCAAGCACAACCCTGCTTCAGGGCCTCAACACCACCTGGCAGCCTCTTCCCCTGATGGCTAGTTGCATGGCTCTCTCCCACATGTCCTCTCAATGTGGCCTTCCCTCACCACCTTTTTTTTTTGTTTGTTTGTTTTTTGTTTTGTTTTGTTTTAGCTGAGCCATCCTGCTACCTGTTGGCAGCTCAGCGGCAGCTCAGCTCGGGCCAGGACTCTAACTGCTGTTGCTCAGAGCTCAAACTCTTGAGCGAGCTCTTAACCAACGAGCTACTCGGCCGGCCCTTCCTCACCACCTTTTAAAGACTGTAATTACCACCCTCTTCCATCCCCTTTCCCTGATTCTCCACAGGATACATCAACTTATCAACTAATATACTCCCAAGTTTTCTTGTTTGTCTCCCAGTTAGAATATAAAGTACATAAGGGAAAGGATTAGTCTTCTAGGTTCGCTATTGAATCCCCAGTACCCAGGACAATGCCTGATCCATAGTGAGAGTGCAATAAAATGTGGCATAAATGGGTGAATTAATAACTGAACCCTTCCAGGGGCTGAGGGACAAGTATAACTTTTCCATGATAAAGACTGAGAAAGGGCCTGCTCTCCATGGGAGTGACATGGACTAGCTTTGGGGAAGTTTTCCTGGTTTACTTGCTCCTTGCTGAACCATGCCTAATCTTCCAAGCATAGTAAATATCAACTGGCACCAGTATCCAAGGGACCCCTCCATACCTTCAAGGAAGGGGCATCTTTTCCACCTCATGGGTTCCTAGAGCTTCCCTGATGAGGGTCCTCAGCTTGTAAGACAGAGAATCAGGCACACTCACCACTTGAGACCTGAAGTGTATTCAGAAAATAGATGTGACATTCCCAACATCTTTTCCAGGAATGTTTTGGAAGGGTGGAAAAGAAAACACAATCTAAATACTTCTTGGTAGAGAAATGTTAGGTAGTTTTTGAAGAGTCTAAGACTAGACAATATAGTTACAAAATTATATTGTAGACTGTTGAATTCATTAATTTAGTTTGTTTAAATTCAAGCCTTTTCCATCAAGTAATAAGTCTGGGTTTACATCTATGTAAAAGTTTCTCATAGGTGGTTTTTAATCACACTCTTCCTGGGACACTGGTGATATTAGTGGCGCTTGCCACAGTCCATTGTGTTTTACCAGGTCGTTCTGCCATTTACTATTATAGAAGGGAAGGTAAAGCTACTTCAAGGTCTTTTTTGACACTCTAGTTTTAACACTTGGTGGGGTTTTTCTTTCCTTTACTTCAGGTACTTGGACTATAATAGAAATGAATTAGGCTTTTCCCCCCAATATTGGAATAACCACACATTAACACATCTTGAATAAAACAACTAAACCTCCTGAACATGTACTTTTCCATTCCAGTCAGCCTGCCTTCATCATTTGGGGGTGAATAGTAGTCCTTTTTTCATAAGACCTGTAAGCAAAAGTAAAGCTTGCATGGAACCACCTTTGTTCTTTATTACAGATGGTCAAGACGCCACACATTCCTAGTGACTGATTACGGAGGCTGCCTTCAGCCCCAGAACACAAGGGAGTATCAACAAAAAGAGACCCGATGCTCCATAGCACTGGGTAGACAGCTGTTGCTTATCTCTAATAGGAGTGCCTTTTTCTGAACAAACTTTGTCCAAGAACGAAAGTTAAAGGCAACCAATCCCAGAAAAGAACTGCGAAGGGGTACTTACTTGTCAATCATTAAAGGCAAGACTTCCTGAAAAAAAGTAAAGAAACCTATTGTCTTCTAGTCCTACTCTTGGTTTTATTTGACTATTTTTAGTATCTGCTGCAGATCTCTTCCTTTTTAGTGATGAAAGAAAAAGGAAAACCCACAATGCCACAGCTCACACACTCCATTTTTCACATGGAGCATTCATCATTACAGTTATTATAGCCTATGCACACAGGTTTGTAGATTTTTAAAGATTTATATTGCTATAGTCTTTTAGAAGCTGTAAAGGATTCAGTTCAGTAATGGGTACCATGATTTATTTGATCTTGTTCAACACTCATATTTCTAACTTTTATTATAATAATCCTGTGATTTATATTGGTTTATGAGTTACCAAGTTATATCTTTCTGGGATTTCTAGAAGTGGAATATGTGGGTCTGAGAGTCATTTGTTTTAGGTTCTTGATAATGTTTGTTACCCTGTTGTCCAGAAGAGACCTGGCAATTTATAGCCCTATAAGCAATGTGTTATAACCACTAAGACTTTATAGCTTGTATTACATGCCATGGACTGTTCTAAGCTCTTCATATTCACTCATTTAATCTTCATAACAATCTTATGAGGTAGGTACTATTTATTATTATTTTCATTTTGTAGAAGAGAAAACTGAGGCACAGAAGTTATGCCAGATATTTTTATAGAAGGAATATTAGTTTGAGGAAGAATTGTCGTGTCAACTGAAGGTGAATGCTGAGGGGAACCAGAGTTGCCACAATTACTGATGTCTGTTACAGCATAAAATTGTATCCATCTGAATTCTGAGGCGATAAGAAGGGTGGGATGGATGGTCCTTTCCCAAAACAGCTCAGCAATAAGGTCAGGGATCTGGTAATAATGTTGGTGGTAGTAGTATTCCTAGTCAATGAGGACCTTTGTTAAGTTCACATCTAGACTTTATAGAACTAAGCAAACAGATTTGGCATGGGGCCTTTGTCCAAAACCCTGTTAGGGATTCATGCCCAATGCCCTTGTTTGTGTTCCTTGATCCCAGCCAGAAGGCAGACCAGTAAGACAGCACGTAGCAGAAAGTTTCCCACCTGGGCAAAAGCCAAAAGCTAGGAGAGGAGAGAGGGGAAGAGAGTGGGAGAGAGGAAAAGAAGGAAGGAGAAGAGGGGTAGGGGAGAAGGAAGGAGAGAAAATGAGAATGTGTAAGGGGCAGGGATTCCCACCAGGGACTGCTGACCTGGTCACTAGAACAAGTAGTGTCCATGGACACATAGCTAATTAGTCCAATCTTCAACTTACCTCCTGCTTAATTCTTCTCACCACAGATTCTAACACTTTAGAAGAGTGCCCACTCAAAGACTCTTTCAGGTGCTCTGACTTAACCATCATTCTAACTAATGTTATCTACTGGGGAGAGGGGAGAAAAAAACCTTATCAACAAAGCATAGCAATAGTGCTTCAGCATCATAAGCCTCTGGGACTTTGACCCGCCAGTTGACCTAAAGCATGCTTTTATTGCTTCTTATTGCATTTCCATTTGAGTTTACACTAGACTTGGGAATGGATTCTGAGACAATGGCCCTTGGGTGATGTTGCTATTCAGGTAAAGCCTGATAAATAAAAAACCTTAGACAATACACTAAAAATGTATTGAGTTTGTGTGTTTGTGAAGTTGGGAAGGCACATAGCTTGAAATCTGTATCAGAAAGGCTGATTTCTGACCAGTTTCCTGACATGACTAATGAAGACAATACTTTGTGGCCTGAATATATATAGCCTCTCTTCTGATGTCGGCTTATAAGGTAGTTTTAGAGGATTCAGGTCTCTAAACGTGATTAATGGGTTTGGAATGTGTCTAGTACACTCCAATTATAAAATCTTACTTCCTGGATTATGTTGAAATGCTATTGTGGAACAGAGCCATTTCCGGGAAGTGAGGAAAATATTGTTACATCTACATGGGTAACAGGAAAAAGTAAAAAAAATTAGTTGTTTTCCTACTTATATGAATCAAATTCCTACAGTATTTCAAACTTAGTTCAGATATTGATAATGGTTTTAATAAAAGATGAAACATATTTAGTTCACATTCTGTGCTAAAGTACTGATGTTCAATCTCTCTATAATTAACTTAATTAAGTATAACTATTGTAAAGACAACCCTATGAGATACTAATATTTTCATTTTACAGAATATAAAACAGGGAGGTTAAATGACATACTCAAGGTCACACAGATAAAAAGCTGCAGACCCAGGATTCAAACCCAAAATGTCTGACTCCAGACTCTACATTTAAACCAAAACACCTTTCAAGACTGTATGTATGCTTGACTTCCTGCATTCTCAGCTTCAGTTACCTCACCTGTAAAACGGAGATCCTACCCCCAATTTCAAGATCCTAGCAGCAGAATATTTGTGAGCCACAGTATTTTACATAGTGGAGTCTCAAATGGCATTTACTCCCTCTCCCATGAGGAAAGATTTAACTTTATTTCTAAGAAAAAAAACTGAGTCAGAGAAATGCCCATCCCATGTCTTGCTTAGCTGCAGCCTTGGAGCTATTAAGGTTTCACCCATGAACAGAGGATCCTCTTCCCCATCAGGTAGAAAGGAGAAGGGGTACAGATACCCTGCAGCTCCCAGGACTTCCTCATCCTTATTCTAGCAGGCCCCTCTGCCTCTGGCCTTCTGCTTCCCAGACCTGCATAGGTGATACTCAAGTCTGAGATGGTTGCTAACTGCCACTTTGGGGCCAAGACAGAGTGAGACTGCTCACTACCAGGGCTCATGGGGGATTCTGTCCTGGGCTCAGCAAAAACGTGGTCTCAGAATACACTGCTGGTCGGTCTGGAGATCAGTCTCATGGAAAGCAGCACACATGGAAAGCCATTGCTTATGTGGCAAACACCAGACTCCAAAGTCATAATAAATGAACCAAATAAATACCCCATGATGCAGCACAAAGAGGAGATGAAAATATGAAAGAAGTTAAGAGATCTGGAGGATTGGATAAGAAATATTAGCTATCTAATTGGAGTTCCAGAAGAAACAAGTAGAGAACGGAGGAAAAGAAATATCTGAGGATCTGAAATAATAAAATTGAATGAAAATTTCAAAAAAAAAAACAAACCAGGGCCGGCCGAGTAGCACATTGGCTAAGAGCTGGCTTGGGATGCCAGAGGGCCCCGGTTCGGATCCCACATATGAGGGCCAGTGACAATGCCCTTTGTAGCTAAGATGGTGAACGACAGCTCGACTTGGGGCTGGGCTGCTGTGGGTCGCCAGCGACGGCATAGGCTGTAGTCTCCTGCTGCAGTGGGATGTCATAAACTACCGTGTGTAGCCCGCAGCCACCGTGAGCAGCCGTCCAGAGGCCGGTGACTGATCTGCCTCACCTGGGAAGAGTGCAATGATGGTGCCAACTTGGGCCAGTGAAGCAA